GCCAAATATTGTCCTATCCTAACAAACCATACATCAATGGAAAGCTTATTTATTCAGCTTTCAGATGATGTATAAATCTCAATTTCGAGAAATTGACTCTTATGACTGGTTTTGTGGTCCAGGGTCACAATTCTGTTTTATTAAGTTTTTTTTTTTTTTTTTTTACAATAATAGGGCCCTATGAAATGTTTTATTTTTTCACAAATTCTGTCTGTTTATGGCTATGGCTATTTTCATGGCAAAATCAATGTATTTTAAAAGAAACAAACAGTAGTAACATACAGTAGTAATGAAAAACAACCAGTTCACTTCAGTATAACAAACATTAAGATTTTTCATTTCAAGATTCGATGAAAAAAAATGTAAGATAATTAAAATTTAAGATAATTTAAGATTATTTCTGGTGAAACATCTTTAAGAACACAGATTTTTTTTTTTTTTTTTTACATCAATTAGAGAACCTTCTGAGTGAAAGCATTGCCTACTGGCATGTTATCTGTTTAATTTAACAAATTTATAATAAAAATGGAGGTAATCAAATGAAGACATAAAACATTAACAATTTAAATAATCTTTAACATGTAATCAATTGAAAATTGAACTATTAAAATTAACATTTGATACACATTTGATTTATTCATCCAACATTTTCCAAATTCCATGACATTCCACGTTATACAGTAAATTCCATTTTTATTACTGAATTACAATTCCTGCGTGTGGTTCTGTGTGTCTCACCAGGAAGCCGGAGGAGTTGTCCAGAAGGCAGCGGAGACGACAGCAGAAGCTCCTCTCCAGGAAGGACGAGTTCTCTGGAGGAATCCTCTCACTGCTCGCTGGCCCTGCAATTAAACACGACATTTACATAAATCACATTTATATCATCCACCAGGGACACAGTTCAGCTTCATTCTGCTGTTAATAGCAAGTTCTGGTAATAGCTGCCACAGTCCACATTAAGGAAATGTACAAGTACATCTCTATTTTGAATTCTTCTGAATGCACCTACAATTTTTTTTTTTGAGATCACCAACATCATTTTGATTTTAAAAATGTATAATACACTGTCCTTAATTCCTATTTAGGATTATATGTTAGGATGACATATTTTAGTATACTGTTTAAAAATTTGGGCACAGTAAGATTTTTGATCCATTGGTGAGCAAGTGATGAAATGCTACATTTCTCCAAATCTGTTCTGATGCACAAACAAACTAATATGCATCTTGGATCGGCTGAGGTTGAGTAAATTTTCAGCAAATTTTCCTTTTTGGGTGAACTATTCCTTTAAGAGACCACTGCATCAATTTGCAAAAATTATTAAACAAATGATCATTATCAATCATTTTAGTGCAGCATCTATGATCTATCTCAAAGTCCAACTGCAAACTCGCAAAAGAAACTGTGGTCAGTGTTGGAAGGAAAAAAATGTGATGTACTGAATGACGTTTTTTATTGATCTGTAAAGAAACACAATTTGTCATTAAAGTAAAGAACAATAAAACAATGCAAGATTAATGAAACGGATGTAGGAGCTGAAAACAGAGACGTCTAGAAGCATCTGCTCTGATCCTCAGGGACTGACGCTGGACTCCAGAGAGACGGATGCATCAGAACATGGAATTTTTTTTGGTTTGTTTGTTTTTTTGCATTATTTCATTACAAAATACACAGGACAGGCTATTAATATTTATAAATTTTTAATAAACCTTTATTTTATATTTTTAATTTTTAATTAACTAGTTTTAGTTTGTTTTAATATTTGAATTCTTTTGTACTTTTGACATTTTATTTGTTTTTTATTATTTCTATGTAGTTTAATTTTTATGTCCGTTTTAGTTTCAGTAGTTTTAGTTCTTAAAGTGACATTTTTTTTAATCTCAGTTAGTTGCAACATTTCTAATGTTAGTTTTTCATCGAATATTTTATTTCATTTAAGCTTTATTTTAATAAAGAAAATGGTGTCTATTAATTTTAGTTAACAACAACAACAGTACTGGTCTACGTATGACTTTCTTTACAGAACAAAACATGCTAATTTGATGATCACATGTACAAACATTTCTAAATAATTTATTTTGATTTTAAAAATGTATAATACACTGTCATTCATTCCTATTTAGGATTATATGTTAGGATGACATATTTTAGTATACTGTTTAAAAATTTGGGCACAGTAAGATTTTTGAATGATTTTGACTCACCAAAAGCTGCATTTATTTGATTTATTTGGTAACTGAAAAAAAACAAAAAAAAACATTAAAACTGTAATAAGTTCTAAAATTAATAACTGGAAATAACTGTAAAAAATCGAACTGAACTAAAACTAAAACTGAAATGTAAAAAAATTTAAATACCAATACAATTGCTAAAAACAAAATTACTAAAAACAAACAAACAAAAAATACAAAAGCACATCACAAAATTACAAAAAATTAAACAAAAATTAAAATGCTAATTATTTTTTAATTTTAACCAAAGCTACAATGGTATATAAATAATACTAAAATAACACTGTTATCAATGTTGAAAACAGCATTTTCAGGATTCTTTGATGAATTGAACGTTCAAGAACAACATTAATTTGAAATAGAAGTCTTCTAAAACATTATTAATGTCTATATTGTCATTTTTATCAATTTATTTCCATCCTTGATTACTAACAGTATTAATTTCTTTTTAAATCTTACTTATTCCAAACTTTTGAACTTTTTTAGCATACAGTATATAATAGTGCGTATTCATACTCATTTAATTTAACATACTGCTGTTTGCATACTAAGTGGTGGGAAAGTAAACATATTCGGACAAAGGGAGTGTGCAATGTAATGTTTACTTCGAGTTTAACCCAGAACATTCCTTTACACTGAAATACACTGTGTGTAATTGCAATGAAGGTCATTCAGTACATAAATATACCAACCATCAATGCTGGACTCGGGGTCGAGGGCAAAGTGCAACTGGCATCTGAACGTGACCCGGTCATCGATGTGGATCAGATCAAACACGCTCTGATGAACCACGTCAGACTGTGAGAAGAACGCTTGCTTTGGTTAGTTGGGTCTAGGTTACATCTATACATTAAGAACAATTATTTTTAACAGCTTAGTTGTTCACCTGATGGAAACCCAGGTAGTCCTGAATGGTGGGCGAGGCATAGAAGATGGAGCCATCTGTGGACACGACCAGGACAAAACCATTCAGGGCCTGCGGAGAAAGTGACACAGACCTGTTACTAGACAGCGAGAGCAGGCCACATATCATTCAAAAGTCATTCTGTCATTTGCATTTGTATTTTGAACATCATTCACTTGAAGCAGCAGATCAGCTTCAGAGACGCCGATGCCGGCTAGTGAAGCTGTCGTCTCATCATCATTATAGAAAAACTCAGGGACCCAATTCTTCCTTAATGTAGCTGAAATAAAGACAAAAAATAATAATGCAGGATAACTTCAAGAACTTTTGTTATGCTTC